GGGGGCTCTGCCCAGCGGAGAGGCGCCGGCTTAACCCCTGCTGTTAGCGGCGAAGATGGGCGCTTTCTCGCCTGTCCCAGTCCTGCCTTGTGTCTTTGCTGCCGGCCTCTGTTAGTAGAGGACAAAGCCTAAGTGGGTCCTGCTCGTTTGTAATTAGCGACCTTCTTAATTCCAGCTGTTTGCGGGGCGTGCAGAAACTTGCAGTAGGCAAAGGGCAGCAGTGGGAAGGGGCTGGCTGCTGTTTAGGTAAATAAGCAGTTACATCTCATACATGTCACAAAACCAGCTATTTATCCTGTAATACTTAATAGGGGTGCAGCAGTTGCTATGCATGAGAAGCCTTGGGTCATCTCTTTTTCTGGGGATAAGGTAATAATCTGGGCCTTATAATGTGCCAAATGTTCTCCAACTTAAGCAATTAGCATATGGTTGTAGGTTTTACAGGGCACTAATGCTCATCTTTCACATTTTCTGCGGGTGGGAAGATGAGGTTTGTAGTGCTTGCTCCCATCAGCTGCTGGATGCTGTAGACTAGGAATGCAATTAAGTGTAGACACCTTTACTCCACGTTTTCTGCACCAGCCGTGGTGGCCACTGATCAGAACATAATTTTAAGAGATGACTTTTATCAGTCTGTGCCATCACAGTGCTGCAAAGACGCCCCTTCAGCGAGGGAGAATAAACCTCAGTAGTTCAGTGTACAACAGCAGTTACCATCAGGATTAAAGAAAGTGTCAGGTGGGCAAGTGTTGCATGTCTCTTCAGATCCAGAGTGTAAGTAAATTTTGCTTAGTGCCTACTACAGAGGTGACAGCTTTCCTATATATTTGTTGGAGAGATACATATATACACATACACAGAGAGAATATGCATTTATTCTTTACTGCTGTCCCCTGGTGTCTCGGGAGCTATTGCAGCTGCTGCCTGGCTTCCCAGCAGAGTGATGGACAGCAAGCAGCTTCCTGCTGGTTGGACTGCAGTAAAGTCCTGGAGAATACTGTTAAATGTGGATGCAGTGGCCTGCTGTCAGATTTTGTCTGTGTATGTATTCAGCCCAAAAGAACTGGGATTCATAAGGAAATACTTTTTACTGTGAGGGTGACCGAGCACTGGAACAGATTGCCCAGAGAGGTTGTGAAGTCTTCAGCTTTGGAGATACTCAAAAGCCATCTGGATGTTGCCCCGGGCATCCTGCTGTAGGTGGCCTTGCTTGAGCCGGGAGGTTGGACAAGATGACCTCCAAAGGTCCCTGCCAACTTCAATTGTTCTGTGATTCTGTGAAAATAAGTTTGTGCTGCTTTGGTGTGAAATTACATGTGGCTGCTCTTAGTGACTCACTGAAACTAAAAAGTTACCAAGAAATTAACTGAATAAACCTCCAACTTTTATTTGAAAGTAGTTGTTGAAATAGATTCACATAGAACATAGAGTGGGTATTTGAAAAGAGGACTTTGTGTGTAGACGGCCTCAGTGGGATGAAGGACATAAGTGTCTGCATGGAGCACAATTAACTGGGGCAATCTAAAAGCAGAAATGTTTTGTGTCTAGATTTGCATGACACACCTCTTGCTCCAGTATAGGCAGATAATTCTGTGATTTTTATTTTGGTATTTAGAGCTGTATTTTAAAAATATGATTGATGAAATGTTTTGACTGAGTTTTATTTTCTCAAAGTCAAAAAGTTCAGGAATATTATTTCAGGCGTAGTTTAAAAATACAGTATCCAGGTTTAACAGATGTTTATTTTAAAAAATCTGAACGTATCTAAACGTTGCATATGCACGTCTGTTCCTCCAAATCCGTTAGAGATATATGCACATCCTTCTCTGTGCTTCATATACAGAAAAATGATTTTGTGTTTATAAGTTACCAGGATGTAAAAGGCTCAAAACTTTCCTGGAACATGAAGTGCCACAAGTGCACAACGGGAACAAGCTATTATATTTATATTGATGTTACATGACCTTGCAGGGCCTTTAGCCAGGCTGTGTTCATGTTACATAAGGATCATGCATATCTGGTTGATTTCCATCTTTTTCTGCTGGAATTGAAAAGATTATTTACAACAATGATTATTGTTAGTCTTAGTCTTCTTACTTTGGGTATTTACTTCTCTTTTTCTGTTGGAGCTATGGAATCCTATACTTTGTATACAATTAACTTTGGCTGTATTCATTAGCTTATATTTGCTTTGTCTCTTTAAACCATATACATTGTCATTGACAAACAGTGCACAGAAGTAACTTCCAGTGAGACTGTACTGTTATGTTATCTCTAATACATTAAGAGTAATTTGCTTGTAGATTCTCAGGATCAAAAAGGAGGCCATTGGGGTTTTATGGTTTTGAGGAATGTAAGAAAATGCTTTTGCAGCTCTCTTGGTATGATAAAAACTTTGGCTTTCTGGAATTTAACAACGAAGTATTCAGAATGTAAAATACGTTTTACCAAAACCAATGCATTGATGAATTTAAATAAACTAATTACAGCAAATCTTTTGTATCTTACATATCTATTTACAGAGATTAGCGTTACAGATAGAAATCCATAATTTTCTTGTTAATCTGTTCTCTTCTGGTTTGCTCACCAAGATTGCTATAAAAATATATTTATATATTCTAAGCTTGTACATTAGTAGGTGCCATTTTCTGAATTTAAAAATAGTCTGCATGTGTTGCGTAAAATGCCTTTGGGCAGGAGAGGAGGGGGATATCTGTCTGGTTGACATGGAACATAAGAAAAAATCTGAAGTATGCTAGAGCTAAATGCAGCTATAGGGGAAAATGAGTTAAAATATATTGAGTTTAGTCTTATTAGCACATTAAATGCCAGCAGAACGTCATACCCAACCTTTTATTTCAGAAATAATCACCATTTTGCTGTGAAGACAACTCAGACATTGTAGCATGTGCAAACAAAGGAAATATTTCTTTAGAGCCTCGTTACGCAGGGCAACGGTGATTTGCTCTTTGTTCTGCCAGCTGTCTGCAACACTGGTGCAGAAAATGGACGCTGGAATGTTTAAATAAACTTTAGACGCTGTAGCCCCACAAACGTTTTGAACTGATTCTCCTTTTTAAAAGTAAGTCTGAAGCAGATGTAAATGAGCATGGCTGGGCTTTTCGCGATGGCTCAGGGTGATACACCTTGGGATGTGATGCTGTGCTGCTTCCTTCGGATTAGTTCATCATCACAGGGAAAGGTGTGAGATTGTTGCAGGCTTAAGAATATGATCACTGCAGCAGGAGGCCCTTGCCGAAGGGGCAAGGTTGGCCTGTCTGTTTATCCCTCAGTTACTTCTGAGTTGGTGAGATCTGTTATGACAAGCTAGTGAAAAAATCCTAGGAGGATTATCACAAAGGTAACATGTTTTTCTGTCACTGTAATTAAGCTGGCAATGGAGTAGTATTCTTCAGCTCATTTATAGGCTGTATATTTTAAATTTTCTTGGCAACATAGTTTAAAATAAAATGATTCATGGGCAGGAATATAATAATGTTAATACTGTTCAGCCAAATGCAGCTTGCTTTCAGCTGGCTGTGTACCTGGTGGGGCTGCCCTGTGTAAGGCAGGCACTGTCTGTGTGCGGTGTGATGCTCAGGTGATGCAGACACCCTCCCTGATGGCCAAGAGGGTGATGGGAGTCCCAGGAGATACAGCATAGGCTTTTCTTCTTGTGTGTGTGCCTTTATGTACCGAGCCTAGCATAACGGCAGAGGAGCTATCATAGCTGTTGTTGCCCAGTAAGAAATGTTTGTCAGGACAGCAGAAGACAGAGATTGGAATGGGAAGGCTTGAGTAGCGTAGGTACTGCCAGTGAGTGAGGGCTGCATGCTACAGATGGGTGCTGTGGAGACTGGAGTCTCTTCCAAGGCTGGTGTATTTCTGAGGAATAAAAGCTGTCTTAAAAAGAGTCTGGAACCTTTCATAGGGTCTTAGAAGACTGGAGACCAACTCCAGTTGCCAGGGAATAAGGCTTTGACATGTAGTGCCTGTAAGTATGGGCATGGTTGGGTGTAATTTCATTTAATTCACTGGATTGTGTCCACTACTTTAACCACTGGATTTGACTCTGTTCAGGTAGTGATGGTTTGTAGATGTTTGGAGACTTCTTTATAGTAATGCTAGAGTTTGATTACTGAGTTTGGAGGGTTTGCTTATTTTATTTTGTGACTGCTCTGACCTAGAGAGTTCTTTGTATGACCCAGGAAGGAGGTTTGGAAACAAGCCTTTGGCTAAGCTCTCTAAAGTGCTTCTGTCTGTCCAAGTCACTTTTAGGTTATTTCACTTACGTAGTAGGGTTCAAATATAAAAATCATAGAGAGCGCTGAGGTTGGTTAGCAGCATCAGCAATACTAATCAAACATAATTCAGCTGACTGTCATGTAAAGGAAGGTAAGATAAGGTAGGGGGAGAAGAAGGCAAGTCACTTCAAAAGAGCTTCTCTGAAACTCAGCTCTGCTCTAATCTGCCTTTCAAATCTGGCTTCTCCTGCCCTTATAGAATGAATCAACTTGACATTTTAGCAATTTTTTAAGAAAAGGGGTGAAGTGCTTAGAATGCATCAAAGGGGGTGAAGCAGAGAACATCTGAAGAAGATCATCTTTTATCTGATACCCTCTTTCTTCATGGCAGAGGAGCAAAAGTAGGTTAGGTCTTTGTCCTCGCTTTTTACTTTATGAAGTTCTGTATTTTTCTGTGAAACATGTTTTAGTCAAGAAGGTTTTATTGCAGGAATTACTGTACATAACTTTCATATTCAACATCTTTGATTATGTGATTTATCAGGAGGATGTGGTCTTTTGCCCTTTCTGCTACATATTGTACGTATACTTTTCACTCTGAAAAGAATTCTATTCTAAAGTAGACCAACAACAGGTTTTGAGTAGATATGTAGATGTATACACATACATTTATATAACTATATGCATCTATATATGTATGTAGTATCTAGAATCAGATGTTTTTATTATGTCAGTCCAACTGTTGTAGAGAAGTTGGCAGAAATCAATTAAGCATATTTTCTCTGAAAGTTGTGGGGGGACAAATATCTGACTTTTTTCTTTCCAAGTCTCTCTTCAGTGTGGAACTGCTTTTGAATGGTTATCTTAAAAATTACTCAGTACAAGTCTATTTGCCTTGTGCTGGTATTGATGTTAGGAGCCTTACAGATGTCTCTAGGAGCAAAGTTAGGGCAGTGTTGAGTCTGTCCAGAAAAGTGTCTATTTTCAGTTGTCCTTGCTGCTGCTATTGAGCTGTAGAAGCTGACTTATGTGTTTCTGAGAGAGACAATTCTTTATTGCTGTCTTGTCTAGACTTTGAAGGAGCCAAAAGGTGTGAATTCCTTTTAGAATGTGTTAATAACTTTCCTTCTAGTATGATATGGAAGTGTTTCATTTCAGGATTCCCTGCAAGTATAGCTTGAGCCATTGGTTCCAACCCCACAAAAAAACCCACACCCTTTTGTGGTTTTTTTTTTACAGAATGGTAGTCATTTGAGTTAAGTTGTTACAGAAAATAACATGACTTAATAAAATATATGTATTTCCACTTCAAGCAAACTATTAATGTTTATTTTTTGATACTTTCCAGAGATGCATGGAATCACATTTAGGATTCAAATCAGCGTGAAAGAACTGCTGGATACAGATGTACTTTTAAAGCTGTTATTTCATTTACCAGTCAATTATCCATCAACTCTACCAGATATTTCCGTTAACTCAGACCAGCTTACAAGGGCCCAATGTATGGATGTGAAAGATAAATTACTTGAACAAGCAAAGAATCATCTTTCTGAACCCATGGTACACGATCTGATTCTTTGGATACAGCAGCATCTTAAATATGTCATTAAGGAATCAGCAACAGTTTTCAATGAAAAAACTACTTCGTCAAAAGGAACAAGTACAGAGGATGGTATCTGGATGCTCCTTTTGCATTTAGATCACATGAGAGCAAAGGCAAAATACGTCAAAACTGTGGAAAAATGGGCTACAGATCTAAGGCTGACTGGAAGACTGATGTTCATGGGCAAGATAATATTGATTCTTCTTCAGGGTGACAGGAGCAACATTAAGGTGCAGGAACAATGAATGTTGACTAGTTCTATCGATTTACCACTGAAACCTATATGTCTGAATATTTTGTGTGTGTTTTTGTAAGAGTAACAATTTTGGAAGCAGATTGATCATTAGGACAGTAGGAAGGCCCAACAGCTCTTTTCTGTATTTAAGAAAAAGAAGGTATTCTATGAGAAAGAAACCAGTGATACCTGTAGACCTGTGGTCTGTATTGTTTTGCTTCCCTCTATAATTATATTCCTGTATTCTCTGTGTCTCCTGACTGTAATAAGCCTAGGTTCAGTCTCATGTATTTCCCAAATGCCCCAGAAAACAGAAAATTTGTGATGAGAAATTAATATTTCTAGCTCATTACTGTCTCTTTCCTTGACTTAGAGATGCCTGGGCTTTGAACTTCTTGTCTGTACCTATAAACTCCCTCTGCATTAGGCAGGTTTTTGTGGTGATATTGGAGGAGAATGTTTTGGCTTTTCAAACTCACTTTCTCTAGATCACTTAAGACTGCACTTAACTTCAAGCTGATGAATAAAAACAGTCATGCACTTCTTGGGATGGGCACTTTCAAAGTTTGATTGCTGTCTTCTAGAAAAAATGTGTATGTTTCATCCAGATTTTTGCATTTTACTAAACTTCAAAGATACTAGCTGACATTTAATATTTTGTTCTTTTTTGTCATTTAGGAGTACTTGATTCTTCAGAAAACTTCTAAGGTAGATGTGGACTCAAGCGGAAAGAAATGCAAAGAGAAAATGATTAGTGTACTGTGTGAGACAAAAGTACAGTCACAGCAGAAAAGGTATAATTTAGTACTGTTGTGGATAGAAAAGTAACAATCGATAATTACATTCTGACAAATCTAGGCATATTCATGAGTCTCCCTTTTACAATGTAGGTTTCAGACGTTTGAAGTCAAAGAATATTCAACACTGGATGAGCTACAAAAGGAATTTGAAACTGCAGGACTTGCAACTCTTTTCTCTGACTTTGTGCCTCCTCTCTTAAAATAAAATTAAAAGAAAACTCTGGACTCTTTCACCAAAGCAGTAGTTGACTGCAGATGCTGATGGAAGATAAAAGGACTAATTTGGCAAACAACGTTAAAGCTTTTCTGAAAAAAAATACCAGTAGTAGCCATCCTTTTGCAAGAAGGAGAAGGCAATTAGTACATTAAGAATTGATAATTTTTTGACATTTGTGTATTGATAACTTTTTCCAAGGAATGTGGAGTTAATTGTGATAATTGCATGGCGAGCATGAGAGATTGGGAAGAAATAATGTTAAAATAATGGTCTTCTAGTTAGACTCTGTTTTGCAATCCCCATTTTTCAATGTTTTCATTTATATCTGTCATGGTAGTGGTTTTTCGTAACAGCCTGCTAGAAAGCATTATTAATTTTGCTTTGGAAGCTTATATGAAGATATTTCTATAAAAAGCATAGCAAACACATATTTGAATATGTGAGGACAGCATATACTTAATATCCCTTAGGTGTTCATCTGCTAACTTTTCATTCTCCATTTATTTGACTATAAATGCTAGACTGTTGATTTAAAGAAAAAGCTTATGTCACTTGGGGCCTGAAAAAACTTAGAAATGTCTTTTTGAATGTTAGTTTTTATTCCAAAATGTATAAAAACACCCAAGTGGAGAATTTAAATAGATTAAAAAGCTAAGGTAAAGCCAATTGTAATATTTTCTGTGATAGTTTACAGATTCCTTTTTGCACTTTATCTGGTTTTACTGTCAGTGCATCTTTAGACATCTTGATTCAATTAAACTGTCAGTGCAGTATATATAAAGACTTCAGTCTTCTGTCTCTCAAGACTTCTGTCAAGTCTTCTGTCATTTGAGAAGCTGGTAAGTTATAACTCCCTATTAAAATTTCCATACCTTTAGCATTTTGTTTTGATTGGTCAGTGGCCCTGGCCAGCTTATAATTTTTTTTTATCACTAGTCTATAGTTTGCTTCAGTATAATGTTACAAATTATATACATCATTTTTACAAATTGTGCAAGTTCTGTTTGCCTAGGTAGAATTGGATACTTATTTCTTCTTATAATTATTAATGTACGTTGGTTTCTATTTTACCTGCTATCATTCTCTAGCAAGACTAGATAAATTGTCCAGTAGCAAAAATTTTCAAGTAGTGAGATTTTCAGTAACTAGCATTGCCATTTCAGTTAGTTTTAGCATGTAGCTAAGCATGTCCTTTACTGCTCTCTAAAACTCACTCCCAGAAGCCAAACGTCTCATGTATTCTTTAACTGAATAGATTTGATCAATTCAGTGTAAATTCATTTATCTCCTTGCACTGGGGGAAGACTGGTACAATTTGGTTAGTTCCTGTTGTGTGGTTTGGCAAATCATCATGTAAAACATTTTGATGTCTGGTTTCATACTCGGGCCATGAAATCATACCTCTATATGTACACTAGCGAACCAACTAAAACAAACTATTAAGTTTTTAGGTTTTACTGTTTGAGATATCAAGTGCATAAAGGGTTGTAGACTATTTGAGAGTTTCTTAAGTTTTTAAGGAGTTTGGTAATTTTCCTAATATGGAGTGTCTCAAATTCCTGTGTTGCATGTTATTTTATGTACCAAGGCTTATTTAATAAGACAATAGCAAAAGCTCTTCTTAATGAGTCTTTCGTGTGTAGCACATACAGTATTTCAGGCATGGTAGAAAACAGACTGGGTTAAACAGGTTTTACAAATCTGCTCTATGTTATTTTGAAATGGCTTCCTGAGAGAAAGGAAATCAAATTTTCTATCATTTTAAGTGTATGCGGAGATGAATTTTTACTTTTATAAAGAATAAAACCCCAGAAGTATCTTTAAAATATTAAAATAACATGTATTTTAAATTACAGTTTTCAGGATTGAGCTATCCTCAGTTAAAATAGCTATGTTGAAAAATTGTATGTCAGTGGAGTATAAAGTCTTGAAAGATGCAGAGGCTTCTCTTCTTATACTATGCGATAGATCTGACAAGTATCAAAAACAAGAAAAGGCCTATGCATGTGCAGTGTAAAACATAATCAGTATCTCTCTGCAAATCTAAATGTTGTAAAGTTTTGCCAGATGGATTTTATGTCCTCAGACAGATCTTTAAAATACTCCACTTTTCTGGAAAGAGAATAAGTAGTAAAGTACTCCAGCACAACCTATATCACAACCTTCTCCATTAAAGTCTAGCTGGAACCTTATCTAACGTGTATAAATAAGTTGTATATGCTTTTTGTTGATTTTGGAAATTGGGTTGAATAGCATACCTAATCATGTGATCTCAAATTGCATGTCACTGCAAAAATAATTGAGGTGTACAGTTGTTGTGCTCATCTTTCTTGCAAGATTAGATGCAGACGCTCCAACTTTTTCCTCCCTACTCTAAAAGCTACTGTAATTAGCTGCATAAGAGAAGCTGTTTGTAGGGTCAGTGGTTGCCAGTTGCACTTGGATATAAACTCATGTATTTTCTTGAAAACTATTGCCTGATGCCTTCTTGGTTAACTGTTTGGTCACAACTATCATCGTGCATCAGCCAATTTAAAAAGTAAAAAAGTTGAAGAGCAAATGACAGTTGGGTAAGTTGCAGCTCTCTTCTGATCTGCGTTCATCTTCTTGCCAAATGAAGTTGTAAGCAGCTAGATGATTTCTGTACTTCAGGAGTTGTAAAAAGCAGTTTATACAATCAATTTTTATCATAGTTGAATTTGTTACTCGCTAACTTATATTGGACAAATCAACGAGTCCAGCCTAGGAAAAGACTGCAGTTTTTTTGCTTGGACTGATGTACTTCAGGAGAATTACAAATCTGATCAGCTTGATACTGTTCAGGCAGCAGAGAACATGAAAACTGATGTCAGGCTGATTCTGTCAAAGCAAATACTTTTGCCTACCTATCAATCAGTCACTTATTTTGAAGGGTAGGAGGATATCTTGTGTTCAGACAAGTAAACAATATTTTTAAAGGTTGTTCTTTTGGAAGAATGTTGCAGCTGTCTGTTAACTGATGGTTTGTTTGCATTTATTGTAAAAAGAGATGGGCAAGCCTGTGAGCCCCTGGGGCACAAAAGTCATCAAAATGCTTACTGTGGTGCATGTTCTGCCCTCCAAGGGAACTGAAGCAGACACAGAAGAATAAAATGTGGGGAAATAAAGTCAAAACTCTTGAGAATCATTAAAGAATGCATATCAGTGCCTAAAAAGTTAGTGAAGTGTATATAGCTATCAGAATCAGACAATTCAATTGCAAGGAAAAAGAAATTCACAAAGAAAAAATGGTTTAACAAACAATATCCACAAGAAAGCTAGTTTCTTATAATATAAATAGTTCTTTGAACAGTGTGCTTAGTAAAGTCTGGTTTCCCGCGGACATTCTTGTATTCTAAACAATTGCACACATGAAGCCTTTCTTGCAGAAGAGACATTCATGATGGAACTCTCCCAGGTGGGTTCCCCAATGCCTGAGGTTGATTGTGCTTTCTGTATAAATCATTAAAGTATCAATAGCATTTTTATTCTCTGCTATGTGTTTTCAGCAAAGTTGTAGAAACTCGGTTTCTTTCAAGCTAGTAACCTCTCATTTTATTTGAAATGAGTTGAATTCAAAAGTTTTAGAAGAATTTTGTTGTGTAAATATAATATGTTTGCTTCCATACAGACAGCACAGCTGCATGAAGTTTCATTTGAAAATCAGGCTAAAATGAAAACTGTTGCAATAGGATGGACTACTTGAAGAATCAGGTTTTTAGGACAAAACTGTGATTTGACTGGTCTTTTTGAATCCCTTGGCTTATTAAGTGTGAAGAAAACAGAAAATAGGTTAAGAAATAAGGGTATATAGAAAGAGGAGCAAAACCCCTTATTTGCACAGTCATTTTTGCATGAATACATTGCATCCAAAGTGTCTGTTCTAATCCTGAGGAGACATGCTCGATCCAGTCTGCTAAACTGCGGTTGAATTAACTGCAGTTGGGTGGGCATCCACCAGTCACTAGAAGAGATGGCACTGGCTGTGCCAGGCGGGTTTGTTAGAAAATGGCACATGTTCACTTTTTCTGCTCCTTTCATATGATTCATGAGTGTTGTAGGTCTGCATTTTCTGTTGTACGAGAAGAAAGATGGTCTGGTCTTCTGAGGACTTCTCTCTCATTACCCTGTGTGCAGCAAGCATAAACTGAAGTAACCAGAAGGGCAACATGAGATTTTTTTTTTACTATTCATGTAACATCAGGTCTTGCTACATATGTATGCTCCAACTTCGGCAGAGTAGTGATGACTGTGGAAACAAGGACTTTGGAGTGCTAACAGATTAAATTGCTCAATTCTGCAAGAAATGAATCGTTCTACAGTTTTGTGTTTTAGCATTGTTACTGACCGTCATTATGACCAAGGTCTGTGGAGAAAACCATCTCTGTCTTGGTAGAGGGAGGAGCAGGAATAAAACTCCCTTCTTTTCTGTATTAATTTTTCAAGGCATTATTTATAGCATTAATATGTACTATTTATATTTAAAGGGTTTTATTATCCTCTCTTGTAAAGAAACCTTTATGAGCAGCACATACTGTGAAGTAGCCTACTGTTCAGGAGAATAGCATGGCTTCAGGGGAAGTAATGCCAAGTTCCAGAGCAGGGAAATACTTTTAATGGGGGACATCGTTAGTATTGGGAATTCACCATTTTTTTTTTTTTACTTATTCAGTCTCGTTAAGATTATAATTCTTACACCTCACCCCCCCTTGCCATTTGTTATTTGCTGTTACAGGGAGGAGAAGACACTGTAAGAACTCCTAGATGAAATCCTTGACATAATCAATTAAAAAAAGATTGAAAGTAGATTTGATTGTTTTGTGAATAAGGCTAATTTTTGTGGTTTTGTAATTCTATCTCATTTTCCTATAAGTCTGCTTCTTATTTCTGTATGAATGACCCACAAAACCCAGAGATTAGTATAAATTAGAAGTACTGTAATGAGCTTAAAGAAACTTCATAGTGGAAAAAATACTTTGTTTACATTGTTTCTTTTAAAAATAGTTTAATAAACCCTACATACGGATGATTTAAAATCTTGTGTCCCTTGATTTGTTCAGCTTTATCTGTGAAAATACAAACATAATCATATTATAGTTCCTTGAAATAAGATGATGAAACGTTGCACACACTGTATTTCTGCCAGAGTTTGAGACTGAAATTGCTTATATTATAAAATAGTGCAGTTGCTGGAATCAACTTTCATATATCTCATAGCAGCATTAAGCATTATCATCCTGTCTCTTTGTGCATAAGACATGCAACACTGGCAGCACTATGTTCTGGTTTTATAATTTATACGTATACTTAATTTTATATTATGCAAGAATTATGATTGTTTATATGCTTAATTATAGACGTAAATGGAACTTGAAATGTAAATATGCTAATAGCATTTTGCAGTTATTGTTCTGTGCTATTTTCATATATTGGCTTTTATATCAATATTAGTTCGTGTTTTCCAGCCTGAAAGTATTAACCTGCAGTGAAAAGAACTCTTCAGAGTGACAGAAAAATTTGCCTAAAAGACACGTTAATTTAAGGAATTCTTTGGACTCTAAAAATGAATTCCTTAATATTTTCAGTTAATTATGCATTCAGGTGTTTTAATTTTATGCTAATAAGGTAACAACCATTATGCTTTTGATTTTCTTTGTGTTTCTTAATGTAATACAAATAATCTGTTTGCATCCTGCATTAGAACATAGCTGATCATGGAATTGGGGTCAATATTCTATTAGGATTTCCCATTATAAATATGATTCATTATATGTATGCATTGTCACCTATTATAACTTGAATGCAAAGAGTCATTTTAGGATGAAACTTGTTACAAAAGATCTCTGCATGAGAACAGTAACTCCACTTTGTGCTTCTTTTCCTATTGTCACCTTTTACACTCCTGCAAATAAGAAATTAAGACTGATTTCTATGGGAAATAGTCAAATGATCACAGTTTCCTAGAGCTGAATTTAACAGGCCAACTCACTGTGGTACACTAGAACTCAATACTTGCTGGTTGGAGGTGGGGTACTCTCTAGGCCTTTATGGGACCACTTTTGGCAACATCTAACTGCTCCACTGAAGCAATTAGCTGGATATTTCTTAAACTTGATGTAGAGAGTTGAGGGAGCTAATTTCACCTGTGCAGAAAACAAATGGTTGACTGCTGCTTGATCTGAGCTTTACATCAGGAGAGCAGCCTGGTACTCCTTTTATGTTAGTGCCACAGGGGCTAATAACCTAAAGTTTACGCTTGTGCTAGTCAAAGAGAACGCTGCAGAGCAAAATCAGTGCCACAATTTTAAGACTGAAGGTGCTAAAATCAATGTACCTTTACTGTTCTTGGGATGCACTTAGGAAAAAATCAGTGCAAAATGATTTTGTTGGTCTCTGATCGATCACTAATCTGTAGTATTATACAGAGGCAGGGTATATTTTTATGGAAGTTGATACTATGAGTACCTGTCAGTCAAGATAATAAAGAAAGCAGTTCTTTTTTAAAAGTAAAATAACTGAGTTACTTGTGAGAACACTGTCCATGCAAGATGCTGAACAGAAGCTGAGCTGTATGGATAGAGCTGTGCCAGAGGCTGATTTTTATTTGGTAGAAGTGGAGGTGTTAGAAAGGAACAGACAGCAATAAAAACACTGGTGATGTGGCTCTCGGAGAAGCCAAAAGAAAGGGGTTTTTTTGGATTGATTACTCTCTGGAAAGAGGTTTGGGAATATGAGCAAAGAATTGCTACTGTATCCAAGCTTCAAGTAGAAATGCCTGAAATAAATACGCAGCTTCATTGTAATTTTCTCCTTTTTGCAGAAATAGCGTGTAGCGCTGAGAACAAGTGATGGAAGTTTTCAGGGGCATAGAGATGACTAACCTCACTCAAGAGCTGTAGGCTGTCTGCAAAGGAATCAGAGCAATTCTTAGAAATTTTCCTCAAGTGACCCAGGGATGACAGAGGCTTTGTTGAGGCAATAACCTCCAAAAGTCTCATAAGACTGAGAAACTAGGCTGTCGTACCTCTGGGTGGTTGGGATGATTGGTGGAAGAGGTGACCAGCAGCTCCCAGGAGCAGATTATCTGCACCATGTGGGCTTTCTGGAAAGCAAGGACTAAAGAGGGTTGACAAATCACTTTTGGAAAAAAAAGTCCGCTTATTTATGGAATCAGACAACACAGGTAAGTGTTTAATTTTTATGAGACTTTTTCTGCATTGATATTATAGACACCTGGCATGGAGATGTTAGATGGTTCTTGCTCAAAAAGTGCATAATGTCTTGGGAGGCTGATGTATTTCCATTCTTCATCAATTACAAAGATTGTTCTGGATGATAATGGTGGGCAGTGGCATTACAAAACCTAAGTGGTGCAAACCTATTCCGAGTCAAGTATTTGCTATGGGGTTAGGAGCCACTCTAAGTATGGGTTAGGCAAGGCACATCTAATAACAAAAACAAGAGGGAAAGAAAATACTCCACAGGAATGGTTACAGGAGTTTCCAGAAAATTGTGTTTCTGAGACACTGGTATGACAAAGGAGGACTTCAAGGTTACCTCTGCATTGACAAGGAGCCAAATGCTAGAAACTCCAGCTAGGTGTGAGGGTGTCACTCAGAGTTTCTGGGCTGTATGGTACCTGGAGAGTGCCTGGAGCTTGGCACAGAGCGCATGACTTTCCTGCCAGCCATGCACCAGATTGCTTCTTTTTGTTTAAGGGCAGCTGCAGAAAGGAAGCTCCTTGCTATGAATTCTGTTATTTACTTCCTACAATACGAATTATTAAAAGATGCTACAGGTTTCCTTCAGACTAATTCTGAAGAATCAGGGAAATACTTTTTAAAACAAAGGAACAGTGATAAAACCTCAGGAGAAGCTGGTCACTTACATATTGATGCTGTGAAAAAAATTATCAGAAGGATGATCATCAAGCAGAGCGGGAATAAAGACATGTCCCCAAACCAGTCCAGAGATGCCAGTTCTCCAAGCTTCTGGCAGAAGCTTATGTTAGTGCTCAGCAGAGGAGAACAGGTATCTCCACAGTAGTCTCCCAGCCTTTGTGGGGGGAGGCTGCGGACAGCTAAAGGTAAAGGCAAAGCTTGGCAGTACAGGCAATGTGCTGACCATTTTTAAGGTCTCAGCTTTTAAACAGCCATGAAAGCTGCGCTATTCCATGTGTAACAGTGTCTGTAATGCCCACAGGAGCTCTGGTACTGTCTCAGATATACTCACTTAACTGATCAAATCTATTGGGAAAGGTAACTACGTTGAAACCATGTAATCAGTTCCAAAAGGAGAGGGTGATTGTAGAAGGTGAAGCTGTTCAGTACTGGGGAGCAGTGGTTTTGAAAGCTGGATACTCGGAATGTTCTCAGTAGCTGGGACAATGAAAAACTAATCCCTGGGATTTGTTGTATAGTTATTAGTAGTAGCTATGTAAAAATGGGAAATAATTGATTCTTCTCTTGTAGTTTATGGATTTTTTTCTATAAATTCATTGTTAAGTTGAAGCAAATGCGTTGTGAATAATTGTTTAGCAGCAAAATAAAAAGTTTTCCTGCCTTTAGGTAGAATGTGAGATTGAAAGTCCTAAGAGAAATTTTAGCTGTAGGTTTCCTATGGATCTGAAGTAGGAATGGGTTACAGCTCACTGAAAATTTCTTATTAACAGCAAATCATTAAAAGCAGAGAAACAAGCATTACAAAATTTCAGCTGCCATGGAATAAACTACCACAAAGGAAGATGTGAGTGTGTATAGCTCCTGTTACTCAGTATTTTGCAGGGACTCTCAGGAGTAGCAGCAAGGGGGTGTAAGATTTTTCTGGATAGAAATAAGGACTTTTTTTTTTTTTTTTTTTCCTGAGCCAGCAGCAAGAGATTCTATTTATGCCATTTTCAAACAGCAGAAAGAAAAGGGATGCACTTCTGGAAACATACCATCAAGGGGTAACAAGTTTTAACTGATCTGTAGGTCTCATTCATAAGTTTAAAAAAAACCCACAAATAAACCCCAAAATCTCAAAACACATGGAAATATCGAAGTCTTTCTAAAGGATTTTGGTTCTTTATCCTGAACAGAAGACTTTTTTTTTTTTTTTTTTTTTTTTTTCC